CTTTGTAGATAAGGCTAGCCTCGAACTCACAGAGATCCACCTGCCTCTTCTTCCTTGGTGCTGGGAATTAAAGGCATGCACTACCATTGCCTGGCCCTTACTGTTTACTAATTCATGAGGTTTCACTAATACAAAATATATGTTATTGAGTGTTCCATCTCAGTTTTGCTATAGTTAAAGAAATGTGGCCTAATAGAGTAGTATACTGAAAATTGTAAAATGCGTAACGTAAAGATAGATAAAAGCTAGCATAAACAGGAATTGTCATCTACAATATACATTTACACTCACGCACATCCCAATAGTTGTAAATCTGCATGTACTTTTGCAAACAGCGATGTTTATGGATTACTGCTGTTTACATATGATCATTTCTTACTGTTTTTGGTGAATTCATTCCAGGATCTCCTACAGGTACAAAATCATGGCCTGTTATTTGCAGATAACTTATACACATCATCTTTTATACTTAAAATCATCTCTAAATGACTAAGTAAAGGCCATGTAACAGATGTCAAATTATTTTTTTTTTCTTGAATAATGACAAGAAACAATATATAGTTCTACTACCCTGACTCAGCTATACCTTAGGTAAGTTCTGGTTCCACTTGCCATTTTTCTGTTGTCAAATGCTTAACCATATTTCTGATCTATCACTGCAGTAGACTTACAGCATTGAAAAGAAACAACATTTTTCAAAGCTACAAGTATCAGTCCTTTCAAAGGGCTCTTCACTTGGGCTTGCTCTTTTAGGGCCTTTTAATTTAAAAAACTTATTTTTAACAACATTCCCCACCCTTTTAGAAGACCAGTGAAGAGCAGCTAGCCACAGTGAGAAGCAGATGCTGACATTCAGGCTTAGTGCAGTAGTCAGATATGTGACTTCCTCTTCATACAACAGCTGCCACATATGCTCTGGAGCAGCCTGTGGTCCTCTCACACGCTGGTAAAACTACCACTGACAAAACCTCAAATGGTAAAGCTCAGGTGCCAGGTGTCTAAGATGCTATAAATAACCTATAGGTTTTTTTATAGAATAGCTTCCCAAATAGAAATACTAGGAAGGAGTATGGGCGCTTTCTGTGTCTTGAGGTTGCTGTCAGATTTCTTTCCGGAAATGTTAACATCAGTTTTTAGTGCCTTCAGTAGTAAGAGTGCCGGTGTCCTGGAATCATCACTATTAGGTATGTACTTTTCACATGTTACTGAATTGAGTAAAGTTGGTTTTCTTGGAGAACTGAACACCTTGATTTAAAATGTTTTAAAAGCTCTATACAGATGTATAGATATATATAAAAATACTTGCCGGGCGTTGGTGGCGCACGCCTTTAATCCCAGCACTCGGGAGGCAGAGCCAGGCGAATCTCTGTGAGTTCAAGGCCAGTCTGGGTCTACAGAGTGAGTTCCAGGAAAGGTGCAAAGCTACACAGAGAAACCCTGTCTCGAAAAACCAAAAAAAAAAAAAAGAAAAATACTCTGTGTGTGTGTTAGGTCACAGAACAACTTGCAGGCATCATTTTTCTCCTTTCGAGCATGTAGCTTCTTAGGATCAAACTCCAGTTGTCATGTCTGGTGACAAATATCCACTGAGCCAACTTGCAAGCCTAAACTCTATTTTTGAAAGCTCCCGATAGGGTATTTTTACTGTGAACACATATTATATGCATGCCTATGTGTGCATTTGAGTATAATAGTGAAAGAGGTCTTTTTACATATTATGTAGTGTATGAGATAATTGAGCTACTCTTTCTTAACATTGGTTTACACATTTGAAGAGTAGGACTAATAATACTTAGTTTTTGAGGCATTTGTGAAGGTACATTTCATGTCATGTATATTTTGGTAGTTTTACCTTAAGAAATGTAGGTTTTCGGTAACAATTACTGTGAACTTTCTTCTGTGGTCTTCTATGATATTATACTTGAGTAAACCACAGAAGCCTATGTATCAAAGTCCAGAGGGAAATAGATAGCAGGCTCCAGTCAGATGGAAACCCATTGTCCACAAACTTGACTAAGATGAACTACTCCTTCTATTGATACTTAGTTCCTATGAAAATGTAGTAAACCAACCATAACTAGGGTATGTAGCAACATTAATTAGAAGATTCTTGAAAGAGCTGTAATTCCTTATTTTTGTGTTTGTGAAGTAGTATCTTCTGCTATATACTGTTCCTAAAGTTCCTGTCTGACTATTGAATTTGGTAGATAAGGTGATGTGTGTAATTAGCATTATCTAATGATCTAATTAGTGAATATGCCTCATTAGACAATTTATAATAAACAGATAAATTAAGTATATCTCTAACATAACTTTTCACATATTGGTAATTCTATTAATAGGCATGGTGCTTGAAAGTATTCAGGGCGAAAGCCTGTCTTAAGCAGAGAGAGAGAGAGCAGAGGGAGCAGGAGAGAGAGGAAGGAGAGGGAAATCAATTTTTAAAAGAAAGTTTAGGACATTCAGGAGGAGATCATCTCATGGACTGGAATTGGCAATGAGTAGCAAGAAGCCTACACTGTGGGGGAGAAAATTTCACCAGCTCACTTCTGTTTATTTGTTTATTTATTTATTTATTTCCAAATGCCATTTATTGAAGTGGGGGAGAGGTTTTAAATACAGGCTTACAGCACAATGGGAGAACCCTGGAGGGCAGAAGTTTGCTACCGATGTTTTACAATCTTGCATCTAAGCTGTTAATGCCCATTATGCAGGATACACAGACAAGGAACTTCCCCTAAGCATTCAGGAGAGTGGAACCTGGCAGGGAATTAGCATAGGGATGATATCAAGGTCAAGGTCAGCAAGCAAGGCAACAGTTACCCAAAATGGGGGCCAGGACTCTACCGGTCCCCCTTTTACTAGAAAATGAGCTTCTGACTTAGGTTGCATAGAGATGCCTGCCCAGGCCACACAGGTGCTCTGTCTTAGGTTGGTGAGCACCCCCCAGGCATTACCCGTCTCTGAATACTCATTATCATACAGGCTCAATCGTGTGTGAGGCCACTATGTGTTGGGGGACTCAAATTAGTGCCAATGGAGACAAAGTGGATTTTGTTAATAGCTGAGTGTGACTGCTAATGAGTAAAAGCCAGTCTCTGAGGAAGACTGGAAATTGAGTGTTCATTGCTGGTTTGATTGATAATTGTGAAAGTGGAGATGGTTTGTGAGAGATTTCGATATTAATATGGGATGTAGGAGATTCCTTCTGAAGACTACACCAGTGGTAAAGCTGTGAATATCATAGGCCTTTCTTGTTAGAAACACTTGGGATTGGGATCCTTACTCTTGAGAAGGAGGAATGGAGTCCAGAGAAGCAAAAGCAAAAGCCCCTCTGTCTCATCCAGCAGAGAGTTCCCCTTTCTTCCTGCCTTGGGCCATGGAGCAGGGGTACATTTCTTCCTCTCCACCTTGTCTTCCCTCCACTTTTCAAAGCAGTGTCCCAGTTTTACTCTAGCATCTGCTCTTTAGCCTTGTCCTTTCCCGTCTTCCTGTAATCTCGGATCTGTTGCTGTCTTCCACAAGTAGTTTACACAGAGATCAGGGACAATCATATATGACTGTTGAATTATTAATTCTTTATTCAGAACAAAATGGTTTGAATCAGTTGTGCATTCATTTTGTTAGGTAGCCCTGATCCAAACATTTCATTTTCAGACATCTTAAAGCCTGTTCAGGCTGGGTAGTGGTAGCACACGCCTTTAATCCCAGCACTCGGGAGGCAGAGCCAGGCGAATCTCTGTGAGTTCAAGGCCAGCCTGGGCTACCAAGTGAGTTCCAGGAAAGGAGCAAAGCTACACAGAGAAACCCTGTCGTGAAAAAACAAAACAAAAACCTGTTCAGCATTAATTTTTGGCTATTTCTTTATTTCTGTTTATTGCCAATGTATTCATTATTTGAAATACATTCACAAGATGTTTTTTTGCT